GGAGCAGGCTCGGAAGAGGCGCTAAGGATGGAGGTGGACAGGATCCTGCCCGTCGCAGCACAGGACATCAAACCGCAGAACGTCCACGTGGAGATCGAGCAGCGCTGGCACCAGGTGGAGACCACCCCGCTGCGGGAGGAGAAGCAGATCCCCATCGCTCCCCTGCACCTTGCCCACGCCGAGGACCGGGAAGAGGGGCTGGCCAAGCAGCACTTGACCACGCTGCTGGAGAAGGAGGTAAAGTGGGGTGCGGGGGGTGCAGGCTGCCTGCCGAAATGGCCTTCAGGTCACTGTGGTAACTGCAGGACAACTGAGCAAGGCTTAAAAAAGCTGCATGTATTCCTGCTTCCTTATAACAATGAGCGTGTGCAGAGAAGAGCCACAAGGATGGGGAGGGCTCTGGAGAACAAGCCTGATGAGGAGCGGCTGAGGGAACTGGGCTTGTTTAGCCTGGAGAAGAGAAGGCTGAGGGGAGACCTCAGCACCACCTACAACTGCCTCAAGGGAGGTTGTGGAGAGGTGGGTGCTGGTCTCTTCTCCCAGGTGATGGGGGATAGAACAAGGGGAAATGGCACCAAGCTGTGCCAAGGGAGGTTCAGGTTAGAGCTAAGGAGGAAGTTCTTTACTGAGAGGGTCGTCAGAAGCTGGCACAGGCTGCCCAGGGAGGTGGTGGAGTCACCATCCCTGGATGTGTTTAAAGAGCGGGTAGACGAGGTACTTAGGGATATGGTTTAGGGGGTAGACAGGAGCGGTTGGACGGGATGATCTCAGAGGGCTTTTCCAACCGAGCGATTCTGTGATTCTGTGAGTGGGGATGCTGTAGGGTCCCCTGGCAGGGCACAGCTCCGTGTCCATTCCTGCGTGGCTCTGCTGTTGCAGCGGTGGTTTTTTGTTACCCCTTCCCAGCAGACACAACCTGCGCTTCATCGGTTGTCAGCCCGCCTGCCTCTGATGAGCTGGGTGCAACTGGTGTGTGTCAACCACACTCTTAATTCAAGCTCATAATTCTGTGTCCCTCTGCAGCTGTAGATTTGTGTCTACAGAACTATGAACTGGCTTGAGTTGTAGCACACACCACGAAGGTTCCCTTTTTGTTGAGCCTACAAATTGTACAATTTTAGGGAAAAAAAGGAGGACACTCAGCTCATCTGGAAAGAGGTCCATGCCTGGGATAACGAAGGTTGGTTGTTAGTTGGGATTAAGGTGTATTAGCAGGAAGGAAAGGGGTGCAGATGTGGAGTAACCAGGAGTATCCCAGATTTGAACTGGGCTGGGATTTGCCTGGGTCACACCTGGGACGAGCTGGTGCCGTTCATCCTTCGCTGCAGCGAGCTTTACGAATTAAACCAATGCAGAACTTAGTTCTTGCTGGGGGCAGGAGGGATTTTCCCTGGCAAAATGAAATCCAGATCCCACAGCAGAGCGGCGGTGCCATCAAAAGCCCCGTTCATTCTGCTCTACATCCCCTCCGAGCTGCGTGCTCTTCATGGCTGACCCCCTGCCCACCCCCTGGATGTTGTGTCTGCTCTTGTCCCTGCAGCTGGAGCAGAAGCAGAAGGAGGCCCTGGAGCTCCTGGAGCAAAACCGGCACCTGCAGGACCAGCTGAAAGTGGCACTGGGCCGGGAGCAGAGCGCCCGGGAGGGCTACGTGTTGCAGGTAGGAGAGAGAAATCAGGCTTCCTCTGCACCCGAGGGGTTCCTGGTGGGCTTCAGCCCAGGCTGATGCAGAGATGTGCAAAGAGATTTGACCTTCCTGCAAATACCACGAATCCTGTAGCCTTGCCAGGATCATCTGCTTAAAAGCTCTCATCTGGGATGTGGTAGACTGAAGATAGCATTATCTACTGGTGTCCCTGGGGGAAAACACAGCATGGCCATGGCAGACAGATGGGACCTCAGCAAAGTCCACCTCTGAGCCATCTTATACTGAGTTTTTGTGTGCAACAGTCGTTTCCCTCTTTTCATGCCCCAGACATCCCCCAGATACTCTGTTACATGGTGCCTGTCCTCAGCAAAGCCTAGGAGCCTGTTTTGGAGAGGCAAGAGAGTCTCTTAGGAAGCCTTTCCTACCCTCCTCCAAACCAAGCAGGCTTTTCCCAGCCCTTCCTTTGGGAGCAGCTGTGCCCAGAGGAGCCGTGACACCCACAGGGCAGCTCTGTCTGCTCCCATGGGTCCGTAGTCCTGTTTAGTGCAGGAGCAGCATCTTGACCTGCTCAAATCTACTTGGCCAGACTGGCTCTGGATCAAAGCGGTCACACATTGCACTCCCATGGCAGCAAACCCAGTGTCGACACCGAACCTCGTGTCCTTATTTCTCACAGGAGAAATTTCCCCACAGGCAGAGAAGCGTCTTGCCTTCCTTACCAGCAATTCCCATGGAGGAGTTAGTCATTAATGCATTTATTTCTGGAGCCCCCGAGCTGACAGGGCTCGCTTGGAGGATTTCCATTTTCACTTGGCAGTGTTGGGCAATGGCATCTGACCTTCCCTTGCCTGGAGCCCGGAAAAAAAAGGGCATGGGGCTAAAAAGCTGAGTGCTGGATCCACCGTCAGATTGGCCATGTTGAAGTTGGCCATAGCACCTCAATATGAGGAGTGGGGGGCAAGAGGGGAAGCCTGCAGAAGGGCTGAGCAAATCATCGCTGCAGTGAGAAGCAACCCAAGCTTTGACTTAGGAGTTGGAGAGGATTTTGGGGAGAGTTGGAGCTTTTTTTGTTGCTCCAGTCTTAATTGTTATGGGAATTTCCCTTATTTTCCCTTGGGAGCAGAGGGATTAAAGTCTCGTTGCAGAAGGGAGTGACCCCACCAAACCCTGCTGGGGTGAAGGGATTGGAATCGCTGGGGGTGTTTCTGCACCCCCAGACTGCGGGCAAACACCACAGTGGTTTTTTTTGGACAGACCCCTCCATCATGCCTAATTTTGGAGTGGTTCCTACATTGCCTACGAGGAGAGACGATGGAGGAGCCTGACTGCTGCCTCCCGAGCTGCCCGGGGGGCACCAACCCCTCCTTGGCAGCATCACGAGCCCCATATGGACCCCTAAACACTGCCCCCACTTAAAAGCCGCTGCACATTTCCTAAGGCAGCTGCTGAGATACCCACCCCGATGCATGTGCGTGCACCGACGCCTCGTGTAACCCCTCTCTCGCGCTGAGCTTCCTCGGGACGGGGCACCCCGGCCTTGACCCCTACCGGGAGAAACGGCAGGGGCTCCCGCTCCTTGCAAAGGGACCGGAGGTGTCCCCCGGCCGCGGCGGGTGGGAGGGTCACGTACTAACCCGGCCCGGGCGGGTGTTCTTGCATGGTTTTTTTTGGTGTAAAGCATGAAATTTAACTTAACGTAACTGAGTGTCACATCTGTGGGCTTTCCTTATCAGCAAGCAGAGTGCAGCAAGGCAGGCCAAATTCCTAGGCGTGACGCTGTGCTTCTCTCGCCTCTTCCTGTCTGTGTATTTATTTTTTTTTTAAAGACACATAATTTCTGTCGCCTTTTGCATGACTCTCTCTCTGTGAGTTTTCTCTTTGCATGCTACATTGCTTTGGTTTGCATCTCACAAAGGTTGGTTTCTTTTATTTTACATCCTCATCGCACCTTTTCCCTCCCTTTCACGTTGTCGGGCTTTTTTCATTTTGTCCTTCGTTTTTTTGGGGTTTCTTTTGCAGGTAGAGACATTAGATGCTCCCTAGCCTTACACTTTAGCGTACCCGCATCTCCTCCACGCGATGAGCAGTCGCTGAGTCCTGTCTGGCAGTCGCAGCAATGACATCTCCACGCCGGCCGTGCCGCGTCCCCGCGGTGGGGTGGGACGCGATGTCACTTGCTGTCACCTCACTTTCTGTTGTTGCTTTTGGTCGGTAGGGCTGCGTTACCCGAACTGTGCACTTTTTGTTTCACGACAAAGCGAACAAACCCGCTAAAAAAGCAGTTCCTTTCTCCTCCACCCGTTCCCATCCCCTCCTCACCCTTCCCATTTTTCTCTCGTCTGTCCGTCTCTGTTTTACTGCTGGTGTTTCTTCCTCATCGTTTTTTTGGTTCTAGTTGATTTTGGTTATGTTTCCGTTTAGCCTGTTCACTGTACAGCTGTTTTGATGTTGTGGTCCGTGTTTTCTGTTACTGGAAAGCAGTTGTCGCTCATTCAAAAAACAAAAAAACCAAAACCAAACCAAACCAAACCAAAACAAGTTGATTAAAACAACCAAACCAAAAAATTGTGCCGAGAACAAATCATCCCAATTGGAGCATGTGGGTAGCAGCCAAATCGCTGCGAGGAGCTTTTCCGTGGCCTGCCTGGCCAGAGGTGTGACACTCAGAAGGGAGAGCCAAGAGTGTTACTAATCTAGTATTTAATCGATTTTTTTAAGACCGAGGTGGCCGCCTCGCCATCAGGTGCCTGGCAGAGGCTCCACCAAGTCAACCAAGACCTCCAAAGTGAGCTGGAAGCCCAATGCCAGCGCCAGGAGCTGATCAATCAGCAGATCCAGTCGCTGAAGCGCAGCTACGCCGAGGCCAAGGACGTGATCCGGCACCACGAGGCCGAGATCCAGAGCCTGCAGGCCAGGCTCAGCAACGCGGCGGCCGAGCTGGCCATCAAGGAGCAGACCCTGGCCAAGCTGAAGAGCGACCTGAGGAGCGAGAAGGAGAAGGCCAAGGAGCAGCTGGAGGAGTGGCAGCACGGCGAGGCCGCGCTCAGCTCCCAGCTGAAGGCCAGCGAGCAGAAGCTGAAGAGCGCGGAGGCTCTGCTGCTGGAGAAGACCCAGGAGCTGCGGGACCTGGAGATGCAGCAGGCGCTGCAGAGGGACCACCAGAAGGAGGTGCAGCGGCTGCAGGACAGGATCGCGGACCTGAGCGGGCAGCTGAACGCCAGCGAGCAGGCGCGGAGCCTGATGGAGGAGAAGCTGCAGAAGAACTACGAGGCCCTGCTGGAGAGCTGCGAGAGGGAGAAGCAGGTTTTGTTGCGGAGCCTGAAGGAGGTGGAGGATAAGGCCAACGAGTACGAGAACCAGCTGCAAAACAGCGAGCAGCAAATGGAGATTCTGCAGAAGGAGAAGCTGAGCGCCAAGTTTGAAGGCAGCGAGCTGGTCCACCAGCTGGAGGAGCAGCTGGGGATGAAGGAGGCCAGCATCCAGAAACTCGCGGAGCACATCAAGGAGCTGGAAAGAGAGAGAGATCAGATCAAGTGCCGGTTCCACGAGCTGATGAATCAGGTCGCCGAGTCGGATAACGAAGTGGCGAAGCTGCAGGCAAAGTTGAAGATGGAAGAGACCAACTACCGCAATCTGGAGCAGTCGTTCGAGGAGGTGTCGGATCAGTTCCAGGGTGTGCAGAAAGTGCTGAAGGAGAAGGAAGAAGAGCTGAGACACGTCAAGGAAATGCACTTGAGGATCGTGGAGAAGAAAGATCAAGATCTCAGTGAGGCTTTGGTTAAAATGGTCGCTTTAGATAGCAGTTTAGAGGAGACTAAAGTAAAGCTCAGGGCCAAGGAGGAGGCTTTAAAGAGATTGGCTGGGGTAGGCACAGGTCCGTGTGCTGAGGAGGCAGAGGACCTTGGGCCCAGTCTTGAGGCTGACGAAAGTCACGCGTCCCAGCTGGGGCAGCCTCTGCAGACTCAGGATGTCCTCCCAGCAATGGCTTATGCACTGAAGGAGGAGGAGGATGAGGTTCTTGAGAGCGGTCAGAGGCAAGCAGAGGAATTTGACTCCCCCTCCAAAGCTGTCGAGCTGCAGGACCAAGAGTTAGTTCAGAAAGCCTTAGCAAAGCCTGACGTAGGAATCGTGGCGGGGGCCAAGAGGCAAAGAATCCGTTTCTCGAGCATCCAGTGCCAAAAATACATCCACCCAGACGGATCAGAGAAAAACTGGACCAGCAGCACCTCTTCAGACACGAGCCAAGACAGGTCTCTGTCTGAAGACAGCATGTCGTCAGAGCCACCTCTGGGTTACCCCTCGTCGGGGACGAGCGACTCCGAGACCTATCTCTCCATCATCCACTCCCTGGAAACCAAGCTGTACATTACGGAGGAGAAGCTGAAAGACGTCACGATGAAGCTGGAGAGCCAGCACGGCCACAACCAGGAGACGCTGATCGCCCTGCACCACCAGTGGGCCAGCACCGAGTCGCAGCTGCGGGAGCAGCTTCAGAGCAGCTTATCCCAGGTCAACGCGCTCGTCTCGCAGCTGGAGGGCGAGAGGCAGGAGAAGTTCAAGCTCATAGAAAACCACGTTAGCGAGCTGGGAGGGTTCCAAATTAAAAACGATCAAGCGCTGACGTGCTTGGAGAAGTGCAGGGAGCAGCTACGGGCTTTGCCCGAATCGGACGCGGAAAAAGAGGGGGATTTGTTCCTTGTTACTCTCTCCAGCATGGAAGCGACCTTATCAAATGCAATCCAGGCCTTGAGAGGGGCGCCAGCCCCATCCGAATATCAGCAGGGTGAAAGCCTTATCGTGGAAAGCCCCGCTCCAGCAGGAGGGGTTTTGGGCGAAGAGGAGCCCGTCTCCAAGGAGCAGCCAGCGGGAGCGTTTGACGCCGGCCAGCTGAGGTGGCTCTCGGAGAGAGTGGCGTTTGAGGCCTCTCTCATCAACCAAATCGCGGAGTCTTTGAAAAACGCGAGCTCCGAGATATCGCGGCTCCTGAGGGAGATCCAGGGAACGGCTGAGGTGGTGTTGCTGGAGCCGGGCAGTGTTTCTCATACAGCCGTCGACCTGGCCAGCGTCCTGTCCAAGAAGCTGCTGCTGGAAGGGGAGTTCTGGAGCCAGGTGGAGGAGCTCAGAGCACACTTGAGCACCAGAGAAGGAGAAGCCGAGGGCAAACCAGAAACAACGGGTCTGGGCTTTTCTCCCTGTTTTCTCGGTGCTGTAGCAGACGCGACGTTGATCAAGGCAGAACTTGGGTTTGTGGTACAGAAAATGAGGGAATCTTTTCACCAGAGATTAAAAACCATTGAAGAAGACCTCCATAACACCAAAACAGCTCTCCAGCAGCACAAGTGCATGTTGGAGGAGATCCTCAAAGCGTACAGGACTCCTGATTTGGACCGAGTCATGCACCAGATTTCTGAAGCCCTTGAGATTCAAAAAGACGCTTCAGAAAGAGCCCAAATCTCCTGGGACGGGAGCCATCTCCAGATGGTGCCATGTCAGGAACTGGCCAAGGTGGAGGAGATGGGCAGCGTGCCCAACCACAGTCACCAAGCTCTTGTTTCGATTCAGGAAGATCTTGCCCAGCAATTAAAGGACAAATCAAACGTTCTGAAGGAGATATCTGTTGCCTTACTCTCTCTGCCTCCTGAGGAGGCCACCAGAGACTGTCAGAAGCTCCTGAAGATGTCTCAGTGTCTTTCGTACCATTCCTGCATGGGAGGCCTTGGGCGCTATTCCTCTCTGTTAGTCCAGGATGCCATCGTTCAGGCTCAGGTTTGTTACGCCGCCTGCAAAGTCCGGCTGGAGTACGAGCGGGAGCTGAAGTCCTACAAGGAGTCCCTGCAAAGCATGGATGCGCTCTGCCAGGAGCGCGTGAAGACGGTCTCTCTCCTTCGGGACGAGTACGAGGACTTGCTGAGGAAGCAGCAGGGCGAGTACGGCGAGGTGATCGCCATGCTGGAGCGGGAGAACGCCGACCTCAAAGCGAAGGTGTCCCAGCTTGAGAGCCAGCGAAGGCTCCTGGAGGAGGAGGAGCATCAACACAGCAAGAGCTTGAGCGAGTTACAGGGCCGGTACGAGGAGGAGATCCGAAACGTGCTCGAGCAGCTGAACAGAACAGAGGATGCTCTGAAGGCCGAGAGGACGGAGGGGCTCAGCCAGCTGGATGCCATCGTCCGGGACAAGCAGAACATGGAGCGGTACCACCTGGAGCAGATGCAGGTGCTGGAGGACAAGTTCCAGGCCAGGATCAAGGAGCTGCAGGTGATGCACGGCGAGGAGCTGCAGGCGCTGCAGGAGCACTACAGCCAGAACCTGCAGCGCCTGCAGGACACCCTGGACCAGTACCAGCGGCAGCACCCGGAGGTGTCCCCCGTGGCGGGCCCGGGCGCTGGGGACGCCTGGGTGGCCGGTGAGGAGGGTGACAGCGGGCAGGGCCACCATGGGGACCTGGACTCCATGCACGGCCTGAGGGAACGCATCCAGGAGCTGGAGGCCCAGATGAACGTCATGAGGGATGAGCTGGAGAACAAGCACCTGGAGGGGAACGCGTCCACCTTGAGGGAAAAGTACCAGAAAGACTTTGAAAACTTAAAGGTCTTGATACGTTTAACGTTTTACGCTGCCGAGTGTACGGGAGGGTGCATTCGGTCCTGGGGTTCACTTGCCAGACCCAGAGGTGCCCCCCGAAAGGGCCAGCACGCCAAAGCAAGCCCCAGAGTGTTAGAAAGGCCTCTGCATAGCACAGCATTTCCCTTCTCTCCATGCTGGGGTATTCTAAATGCATTGCTGAGGGCTTGGTCTCAGTGGGAGGGCGGATTATTTGAGGTGGTCTCTGCGGGTAGAGGGAGGGAGGGTTTTGAAGCAGCTTGATAACTTCACGTT